GCTGCTACCAATTTTGCTATTATTTTTATTAAAAAATGTGCACGTGCGTGTTCAAACTCTTTCTATCTTCTGTACTCATTCCTAAACAAGATCATATTCTGTCTCAGGCTTGTGACTAACGTAAAAGAAATTGAATTTAAATGTCAGGCTATGTTTTTTTTTATTGGTGTAACATTGGTTTATAACATATAAGTTTCAGGTGTACATTATAATTTGGCATCTTTAACAGCCTCTTCTTTTTTTATTAAATATAAATTTTAATGAACTAAGTACTTTTGCATATTTTAAATTCTTTACATGGTAGTTATTTTTTATAACAGGATATTAAGATAGGTTAAATTCTGTGTATTTGAAACTGTTACAGAGCTTAAGCCTCTTTACTTCAAACAGCAAAAAAAAAGTATGTTGCATTAAAAAAAAGTAAAGGGCATATTTTAGTTAGAACTGTCATTTAAGTTATATAAAATACAATCATTATTTTGTTGCTTTTTTTATTCTTATGTGGAATATGTATGTTTTTGTATCAAAAACACTCACTGTGTATCTCAAGAAAAAGAAACTACACTAAATAGCCCTGTTTTAAGAAAAATATTTACTAAGCATCTCAACTTGAAGACCAAGTCAGGGTTATAAGTCAGGATCTGAAGTCTCAGGCTAGGAGAGACTGAGAACGTTAATCAGTTTGGTCGTATGCTTCTCACTGAACCACGTCAGTAGTACTAGCCAAACACAGCCTCTTCTTTTTAAAAACTTTACTGAGGTCATGTTGGCTTATAACGTTATGTAAATTTCAGGTATACATTATTATATTTTGGCTTCTGTATAGCTTGCATTGTGTTGACCACCAGAAGTTTAGTTTCCCTCTGTCACCATACACATGTGCCCCTTTACCCCTTTTGTCCTCCTCGACTCCCTCTTAACAGCCTTTTTTTTTTTTTTTCCTTTTGAGGAAGATTAGCCCTGAACTAACTGCTGCCAATCCTCCTCTTTTTGCTGAGGAAGCCTGGCCCTGACCTAACGTCTGTGCCCATCTTCCTCTACTTTATACATGGGACGCCTGCCACAGCATGGCTTGCCAAGTGGTGCCATGTCTGCACCCGGGATCCTAACAGGTGAGCCCCGGGCTGCCTAAGTGGAACGTGCACACTTAACCGCTGCACCACCGGGCCGGCCCCAAACAGCCTGTTAACAAAGGCACGAGCATGACCACTTAAGATGAGTAAAATTGCGCCCTCCATCTTCAATGGGTCCCACCTCACTCAGAGCAAAACCCCACGACCTCACAGGTCTGTCCGACTGCAAAGCCCAAGTTCTTCGCTGCACTGTTTTGTGAAGTTTGTACCTGGAACTCAAAACAACTCTAAATGTTAGTCTTTCAGCAACACTCCATTTACAGGTGGGAAACCTCGTACCCAGAAAGGGAAAGGGGCCCCACAACCAGTTGATCACAATGTCAAGACTGGCCATGATGCTTCAGGGCAGGATTTTGGGCCCCGGCCTCTGGTGCACAGTGGACACTCAATGAATGCCTGATGACCGGTGTGCAGGCTGGGTTGATAGCAAAGCTCCTGTAAGCTGCAGGGCCCTTGATATTCTCAGAGGGCCCCCGAAGGCTCTAGCAATGTGTTCCCATGGTCTGATGTTTCTGTAAAATTTGCAAAAGGAAGATATTTAAAATGCAATTGGTTGAGAGACCACTGTCTGTCTCCAGCTCTCCTGTCCCCTGTTGCATTTCTGACCGAGGGTGGTGCCGCAGTGGCCTCGGGCATTTATGGGATCCTGCTGAGGGGATGGTGAGTTGAGGATAATTTAGGTTAGGCTTCGTGGGATATTTTGATGTGTTTCCTAGACAATTTCAGACAAACTACCTAACTAGTTGTCCTGGTGTAGGAATGACTCCCAGGAATGCTCCCACTGTCCAAGGTGCTAACTCATTAGGTGCCAGGCCACAGAGTATGGTGGCAGGAACGTGTACTCTAGTGACCCCCTCCAGAAACACCTGTGTAACGGGGGTGAGTCAAGAATCAAAAGGACTGAGCCAGAAGCTAACCTGTGGAAAGCTTTTCCAAAAGGTACAGCTAACATACGACAAACTTCATCAAAGTTTTCACAAATTTCGAAAAATTTAGATGATGTCACCATCATCATGATTTGGGAATCTGAAACTTTTTCCAAATTATAATGACTAAAGAAAGTTCCATCAAGCGTGCTAAAGGTAATTTACTTTTCTCTGTAGATAAGGATATTATGAAATAAACATATGCAGCCAAAAAATAGGAACTATATGACAGAGGTGTGTCAGGCAGGAAATTAATGAAAACATCATGTTACTTTTTGGCATTTTGCAATATTTGTGGTATTTGTCAGCTCTTTTAAATGAGAAACTTCTTATTTCATATTCTAAGTAAATTTTCATATTCATACCCAATTTTGTTTGTGATTTTGAATTCCTTCTCTTAAAGAATGCTCCCTTCCTCTACTCCGTCATCAAATTCCATAGAATTCTTATAAGCTGTATTCTCCCTGTTGATGACTCATTGACTCGAAATAGGAGTCGTTCTCAAGCTGTGTGACCCCAGGCTAGTGGCTGGACTTCTCTGAGCCTGTCTCCTTAATGGCAAAATGGGAACACAATAGAGCCTCCACTACAGAGTTGTTCTTAACTTTCAGTAAGCCAAGGTCTGCAAAGTGCTTAGCGCAGGTTTGCTACGCCCTGAGCGAGAATAAACGTCACCCCATGTCTACGCTGACAACATTTCCGCAGCTTCCGGACCCGCGGCCAAGACCTTCCTGTGCGCATGCGCGCCGGACTCTCTCCGCTAAGGACTCCCCTCCTTTTGGGCGCGGCCTATGCGCCGCAGGGGGTGGTGGGCGGAGCCAAGGGCCTACTTCCGGGATCGCTCCCTCTCCTGGGGCCAACCCTCCTTATATGACTGGCAGTAGTGATTATCCAGTAGCGATTGGACAGGAGCCCGACGACCCCACCCATTTCGGAACCGCTCTTCCGAGTTGGCCAATTGCAAGCTTTGGAGGGCGGGTTCTTCCCTGGGGGCGGGACAGAGTGACGAGCGTCTGTTTTGACGAATGGGAACTTGGCTGCGTCTGAGCCAGAGCCAATCAGAAGCCGGAAGGCCGGATCCTGGGGCGGGGCCGGAGCTTCGGCGGTTGAACCGCTCGCTAGGAGGGGTGTCGGAGAAGAAGGTGAGAGGCGGCGAGAGCGGCGGGTGCGCGGGCACGGGCGGCTTGCCGGGGGGAGGGGGTGCCCTGGGGGAGAGGGTGACCCGGCGGTGTGGGCGTCGGGGGGGGGGCGCCCTTTAACACTGGTGGGGGCTCTAATGAGGGGTTTGAGGCCGAGCGCAGTGTGAGTCGGAGGGATTTTGGATTTCGCGGGGGGTGTCTTTAAGGGGGAAAGCTGGAGACGGCAGGTGGTGGAATTTAGAAATGCCCTTGTTATACAGCCTTACGGTTTCCTGGGGGGTTTTAGGACAGAGGGTTGTTAGAGCGCGGTGTGGAGGGGTAGAGGTCCCCGCGGTGAGTGATCGGCTTTGATTTGGGGGGAGGGCGTATGAAGAAGCATCATTGAGGAGGGAGGGAGGGGGACCTCCAGGGGTGAGGTGTGATGGCGTAGCGTTGACTGTGCCAGGCACCTGCCAAGCGTGTTATGTGGATTAACTCTGGAACTCCCTAGCAACCGTATCGTGGTTAAGAGCGCGGGCTCTGGCATTGGGTTGCCCGCGTTTGAATGTTGGCTTTGCCCCTGGGCCTGCCGTCCAGCATCACGGTGGCTTTGGCTGTCAGAGTCGTTTACCCCTCTGTGCCTCAGCTTCATCTCCGGTAGAATGACCTGGGCTCTCCTCTGACCGCTCACCGAGTGGCCTCCCCCTCTCTTGGCTTCGATGGTCTTTTACATAGCGATCTTTCCAGTCGGGATCTCTCCGCTGAACTCCAGAGCCATGTATCCAGTGGCCGTCTCTTCTCCACTTGAAAGTCCAACTGCTATCTGGACTTTTAACACTTGTCCCAAACCCAACTTGTGGTTCCCCGCCTTCAACCTCCAAACCCAGTTGATGGCAGTTCCCTTCTTCGAGGTGCTCAGGACAGAAACCCTGGAGTTGTCCTTGACTCGTGCTTTTTCTCTCACCTGTATAGCAAATCTCATTGGCTTGCCTTTCAAAACACACCCGGAATCCAACCGGGTCTCACCGCCTCCCTTGCTTACCGTCTGATCCAAGCCATCACCTGCTCTTACCTGGTCTGTTGCGGTGGCCTCCTCATGGGCTCCCTGCCTCTGCCCTTGACCCCACAGTCAGGGACATCCTGTGAAAACAAAAGTCAGATATGTTTCTCCCCTGTTCCAGTCCTCCCTTGACTCCCACCATCCCCCCTTTGCTCACTCTGCTTCAGCACCCTGGGCTCCTGCTGTCCCTCAGATGTAGCAAATACATTGCCACCTCAGGGCCTTTGTACTTGCTGTTCCCTCTGTCTGGATCACGTTGCTCCCAGATGTCTACAGGGCTTCTTCCTCACCTCCTTCAGGTCTCTGTTCAGATGGCACCTCTGCAGACAGGCCCTCGCTGACCATCCAAACTAAAATACTTCGTGTCACTCCCTGGCCCTTCACCCCCTCGTTTTATTTTTTCTTCGTAACACTTACCACTAGGTGACATGTATTAGTGTTTGTTTATATCCACTCAGTTTCTTAGACACCCCCCACCCCCAGAGTGTTGGCTCCACATGGATAGAACTCAGCACCTAGAAGTGCACATAGGTGCTTACATGGTGTTACTTGTCATATACCACCCTTACTACCATTTCTTGGGGGTCTCCCTGTGGTATAGGGCAGGGTTGTTGAGCTGCGAGAGTCTTGGGTTGGGTGGTGGGGTCTAGATGGGGTAATAAACTGGGCAGATTGTGGTGCCTAAGGACGGAAGATCTCGGCTTTAGTTAGTGCTGGCGGGGGTTGGGGGGGGGGGGGGGGGGGGGGGGTAAGTAGGGGTGGGAAATGCAGATTCCTAGGCCTACGCCCCGAGATTCCCCTTCTGTAGGTTTGGAACCATGCCCAGGATCCTGCGTTTTCATCAAGCATCTGTGGTGATGCTGAAGGTCTGCGACCCTCACTTCTTTTTTTTTTTTTGCCGAGGAAGATTTGCCCTGAGCTAACATCTGTGCCAGTCCTCATCCACTTTGTGTGTGGGTGCGACCCTCACTTTGAGAGACAGGCTGTTTCAGGGCTGGGGCTGGAGCTCTCATCATTAAACTCCTCCTTTTTGTCCAGCCCTCTGCTGGGCATTGCTGGGGACTCTGTGGTGTGGAGACAGCCCCTCACCCAGCCTGGGAGTCAGGGAGGGCTTCCTGCACGAGGGGACCTTGGAGCTGAGACCTGGAGGATGACAAGGAGTGCGCTGAGGGGAGAAGACCTTGGCTGTATCTCTGGTGCCTAGAACCCCGTTTCATGGTGTCGCGCGTTAATTCACAAGCAGCCCCTGATCGGTGCCAGGGCCAGGATGCTGAAGATACAGGAATGATCACAATGGCTCTGCCCTCACGGGCTCCTGGTGTGTCAACTAATCCTCAGCCGGTTGCACAGATGGTAACAGCTGAGCGAGTGCCAGGCACTGTTGAAACACCTTTATGTATTAACTAATTTAACCCCTACAACGATCCTGTGAGGTGGGAGCTCTTATCATCCCCACTTTAGTGATGGGGAAGGGCCCCGAGAGGGTAAGTGCCTTGCCTGGGGTCGCATTGTGGTGAGTGGTAGGGCTGGGATCTGAACCCAGGAGTGCCCAGCCTGCCGTGTGTGCCCTGTTTAAGGTGTGAGGCCCGTTTAGATTAGTGTTGAGAGGGAAAGGAGCACAGAGTTATGAGAGGAAACGCAAGGCGGTCAGGGAAGGGCAGCTGGGTAATGAGTAGGGGGACAAACGTGCCAGTCCCTCACTGCGGGATCCTAGGCAAACCTCAGTTTCCTCCTCTGTAAAATGGGGGATGATACGGCCCCGACCAGAGAGCAGAATTAAGGGTGAGTCACTGGTTATAGCTGTGCATTGTCCCTGTCTAAGGCAGAAAGCACTTGAGGGACAGTGAGGGAGGGGGTTTGGATACCCTGGGGAGGGGGCGGGCTGCCGTGTGCACTGTGGAGGTCCGGATTGTGGGGTGTCCTAAAGGGCTTTTGTGTCTGTGCATTCCAGGGGCACACTGCGGAAGGCTCCGGTCTGTGTTCTGGGTGAGTGCAGGGCCAAGGAGGAGGGGTTCTGTCCAGCTCAAATTCACCCACATGGTGGGGAGGTGAGCTCAGAATGGGGGCCAGGAGGGGTCCCTCAGGCCAGGCATGTGTGTGTTTGTGAAGGGGGGGTACGCTGCACTGGGGAGTCCAGCTGGGTCATGGCTGGGCTGGCATATGTGGTGGGGGGGCAGGGGCGCTGCAGAGAGGGGAAAACAACCGTCAGGGGTGGGGGGCTCCTGGGGTGGTGATTTATCCATGTCTGCTGTGGGAGATGGTGATGCGGATTTGTTTTTGGGGAGCCCACCGTGGAGGACCTCAGCTCCGGCTCTGGGGTGAAGGCTGTGAAACCTGAAATATCCCAGGAGTGCAATTTGGGAGGAAGAACCGGGGACAGTGACGGAACGCTGGAAATGGAGAGAGGGTCACCTTAGTGAAAGATGAGAGGGCTGGGGGCTGGATACTTGAGTGTGCGTGTGCTGAAGCCGTGATGTCATGAGGCCCGAGAACCAGGGTCAGCTGCGTGGGCCAGAGTGGGGCGCTGGGGTGTCCGCGCAGAGCGCGCCCCTTTGAGGTGGTGATGTCATGGGTTGGCGAGGGCGGGGCATTGAAGGCAAGGCTGGGACGCGGGATCAAGGAGAAGAAGAGCTGGGAGAGACTAGGGACTGGAACGGAAATAGCGACCAGGATGGGCCACTGGTCACAGAGCAAGGATGGAGGATGCAGGCAGGGGGATAGAGTCGGTGGGGGGTGGGGGCGGAGGGAGGGGCTTGGGCTTGGGGACTCCCAGAATGGGGGCGGGTGTTGAGGGAAGGCTCTCCTCAGGGAAGAGAGGTGGAAAATGTGTGTGGGGGAGAGGGCGTTTACATAGAATTTAGGAGGGAACAGAATCCAGGTGAAATAGACAGGCGATGGAATACAGCTGAAAATGGGGTGTGTGTGGAGTAGCATCTTGGGCGAATATGCAGTCAGAATCCAGGCGGATAATGGGGAGGGAGCAAAATTCAGGTGGAATATTGGGGGAACCCCAGAAGAACATGGGGGCTGGCGTAGGGAGAGGGGGAGTGTGCTCCCCACCCCCAATCTGGGAGAGCCGGATGGAAATAAGTGACTTGGGGAGGGGAGTGGAGGAGGGGCTGGTTTGAGAACTAGCATGACCGAGGCGGGGCTGGAATATGGAGGGAGGGAGGTGCTGCAGAGGGGAGGGGAAGGGGAGCCCAGAATCTCGAGGCCATGCGGGGAGTGAGTGATGGGGAGCTGGGGTCAGGGAGGGAGGGTCAGGCTGGCAGGAGTGTGGAATTTATTCCGTTAGTAGTTGTTGAGCGCTCACGACCTGCTTAGAGGAGGGAATGGGAAGGGGAGGAGACAGGGAGCGGCCAAAGTTTGTGGAGGTGAGGGAGGTACGTGTGTAAGGGGAGGGTTGAATTCGGGGAGAATATTCAGGGTCTTAATATGTGGGGTTTCGGGTGGAGGCTAATAAACATCAGGGCAGTTGGATGCGGCTGCTATTCTGGGGTGAGAAAGAGGGGTTTAGGTGGGGGACTGCGGCGGGCCCGTCTGTCTCCTCCCGGGAGTTGGGTACCACGCGTGAAGCGGAGGAGCGTATCCTCAGGTGTTCCGCTGCTGCTTCCTGTGCCTTGGTGACCGGCACGGCGCGACCGCTGATTGGCTCACGCGCCTAAGGCGTGGCCTGTGGGCGGGGTCTAGGAACCCAGTGGGGCGGGGCCAGTGCTGCCTGGGACCCACGTTGGGGGGGAGTGGTTTGTCTGGAGAGCTGCTTGTCTGCCCATAGGTCAGGGATTATGAACCTCGACCTCTGAACTTTAGAGAAGGAAAGCTCGATTGCGAGAGTATGAATTTTCTGGAGGAAGATGTCTCCACATTTCATTAGCCCCTCCAAAGCACCAAAGACCCTTCCCCCCAATAATGTTAAGAGCTTGGGTCAGGAGACAGAGCGGTGCCTGTCAGGACGTTTGAGGCTCAGGCGCCTATCCTTGGGCCTTTGAGTAAGGGATCTGTGGGTGGGCCTGGGGGTGGTATCTGGGAGCCCCTGAAATTACTTGCAAAAGGTTATGGGCCTATTCCTCTATTTGGGGAGACTTCAGAGATCTTAGATTCTCAAGCGCTCAAGGGCTCTAAAAAGGTAACAATCACTGACCTAGAGTTTCAGGGCTCGTCTTTTTCTGCCTCGCAATATTATATTTTCCAGTATCAGACTTTAGCCAGCCCTGGGGGTCTAGTGGTTAAGATTTGAGGCTCTCACTGCCGCAGCCCGGGGTCGGTTCCGGTCAGGGACCCACACCCCGTGCCTGTTGGTCGTCACACTGTGGGGGCTGCGTGTTGCTGGGATGCTGAAAGCTAGCTGGGATTGCAGATGCCAGCAGGGTCCCCCATGGCGGACAGGTTTCAGTGGAGCTTCCAGACTAAGACAGACTAGGAAGAAGGATCTGGCCACTGACTTCCGAAAAAACTGGCCATGAAAACCCTATAAATAGAAGCAGAGCATGTCTGATAGAGCGCTGGAAGGGGAGAGGATGGCACAGAAAGGCCAAGCAGGGCTCCACTCTGCTGTCCACAGGGTGGGTCGCTAGGAGTAGAAATCAACTTGATGTCACTAACAACGACAAATCAGACTTTAGGAAGGACTTCCTGGGGAAAGTGAGCAGACTAAAAGAGATGATGGAGAGAGAAGGAGACCAAGCATTGGAGGGGTCCCCATGATCTGGGTTGGGTGCAGCCCTGGGTGGCCCTGTCTTTGGAGCAGCTCTGGGGCTCTGGAGAGGGCCCTTTTTCTTGCTGAGCCTCAATTTCCCCATCTGTGCACTGGGGCAGCGAATGGGCTTGTCTTATCTCTGTAGCCCCTTTCAAGCTCAGAAACAACAACAAGGTAATAATAATAGGGATGATGACGCCAGTATGTGTGGAGTGCTTGCGGTGTGTTAGGATAGTCACCTTCTGCCTCCCTCCCTCCAGGCCTCTGCTGGGAGAAGCCTTCCCGGCCACCTTGGCTAAAAGGGCAACCCCCACCCCAGCACCCCCTTTCCCCACTGCTTGACATTTTTCTACCTCTGCCTGTTGCCACCCTCTCGAGCATGGGGACATAGTCTGGTTTCTCATCATATCCCCAGCACCCAGGATGGCACATGCTTTAAAGATGAAGAATCTGGTTCCAAGAGAGGTTTATGACTTGCCCGTGTGTGCGCACATAGCTGAACGTGGATTTGAGCCACGCAGCCTGGGGCTCCCATTCTGAACCATCCCCGGGATCCAGGCGAGGGCGGAGGCCTGGCCCTCTCCTCCGGCTCCTGCTGGAACCAACAGTGTGTAGTCCTGTATTGGCTATGAGAAGGTACTTAGGCTGACGACAGAACTAATTAATAAAATCAATTAGGAATTTGGTGTGAATGCTTTCAGGGTGTCATTGATAATGGAGAGCACTGGCCGTTCTCTTGACTTGGACCGCTTTCCCTAGACAGCCATGTGCCTCGCTCTCTGACCTCCTTCCATTCTCTGCCCAAATGTCAGCTCCTCAGGGAGGCCCGCCCTGATCCTCTGTTTGAAATCTGTGCCCCACCTGACCTCAATCCTCTCTGTCCTCCTTTCCAGCTAGATTTTTCTCCACAAACATTTGCTGAATGAATGAATGAATGAATAATAAATATGTAGTGAGTGTAAGGACTCATCAATTAATAATCGATAGTATGAATCATGATTCTCTTGTTGGAAATCATATTTTCTTTTAGCCAGCATGTATTGGGCATAGCACTGTGCAGGGCACACTTTTAAGTGTTTTTATGTATATTGTCCGATTTAATCCGTATGACAACTCTATGAGGTAGGTGCCATTGTTATATCCATTTTCCAGATGAGGAAACTGAGGCCCAGAGAAGTGAAGTCTCTTTCCTAAAGTGCCACAGCTGGTAAATGGTGGAGCCAGGATATGAATTCTGGCCTTCCAGCTCCTGAGCCTGGGCTCTCAGCCCCTCTGCGTCTCTGTCTCCTCCCCTTCTCCAGTGACACTGGCCATGGACCAGCCAGCCGGCCTGCAGGTGGACTACGTCTTCCGGGGCGTGGAGCACGCCGTGCGGGTGGTGGTATCTGGACAGGTGCTGGAGCTGGAGGTGGAGGACCGCATGACAGCCGACCAGTGGCGGGGCGAGTTCGATGCCAGCTGTGAGTGTGCCTGCCTGGGTGGGCTGGCCTGTCCTCCCCCCGGATCAGCTTCTCCCAGAAGATGAGGCCAGCCAGGATCCTGCCACCTGCCTCTTCTACCTGACCAGAAACTAAGGTGGGGAGGGGGTGTAGGGCTCGTTCCTCTGGCCAGAGGCCCCAGAGTTGGGGAAAGCTGGAGAGCTTGGATGCATTGCTCTTGGGCTGAGCAGGTGGTCAGACCTCAGGAAGGACTTTTCTCCCTACCCAGTCATCGAAGATTTGACTCACAAGACAGGGAACTTCAAACAGTTCAACATCTTCTGTAACATGCTGGAGTCGGCCCTCACTCAGGTAGGGGCCAGGGTTGGGGGCTGGAGGAGGTTTCTGTCCCCTGGACCCCTGGGGGGGTAGAGGCCCATCTGATGTATACAAGACCCTAGACCTTCTCTTTCATTGAAGGGACAGGGCTGTCTTTCTGTCCTCTTTTTCCCCAAATGTAAATGACTTATTCTAATAATAGTTATTCTCACTTAGAAAATTCAAGTCATAGAGAAATGTGAAGAAGAAAGTAAAAATCACTCCACTCTTAATACTCAGTCCTGTTCATGTTTTCTTACTATTTTGGTGACAATCACTCCAGCCATTTCTCCATTTCTCTGTGCATTTGTGAGTATGTGTGTGTGCGTGTATTTGCAGATCTATAATTTTATATAGTTGATAGATCTCCCAAAGGCCTCCGTAACCTGCTTTTAAAAGATGCAGCAATATTTCATAAACATTTTGTCGCATCAGTGAATATAGCGAATCGTTCATTTCGTTTCCTGAGCATCTGCAGTCTGCCAGGCACTGTTGTTGGCGCTGGGGATGCAGCAGGGGACAAAAGAGACAAAATTCCTGACTTCATGAAGCGGACATTCTAGTGGGAGAGACAGACAGCTGAACAAACACATAAGGTCAAGCAGTTAAAAGTATTAATAGGAAAAAAAAAACCAGTTTGGAACTTAGAATGACAGGGATGCTGTTTAGACATCATTTTGAAGCTAGGAACTACATTATTTTTCTGATTACAGATAAACTATGCACTCACAAAATTGTGATAATAGCAATGTGTGACTTAGAAAGTGAGAGTCCTGGGGCCGGCCTGGTGGTGGGGTGGTTAAGTTTGTGTGCCCTGCTTTGGTGGCCTGGGGTGCGCCAGTTCAGATCCTGGGCACAGACCTACACACCGCTCATCAAGTCGTGTTGGGGTGGCGTCCCACATAGAAGAACTAGAAGGACTTACAACTAGGATATACAACTATGTACCGGGGCTTTGGGGAGAAAAAAAATGTGAGAGTCCCTCACGATCCCCTTTGTGTCCCCTACCCCAGACTGTTAACATTTCAGTATCTATCAGCAGAATGGCATAAAGGCCAAGAGCACGGACTCTGAATTCAGACTTACCACTGCCACTTACTAACTAAGAGCCTGGACCAGTTACTTCCCTTCCAGGCCTTAGTTTCCCAATCTGTAACGTGGGGACGATTGTAGTCCTTGTTTCATAGTGTTGTGAAGATTAAATAAGTTATACATAAAAAGCTTAGAATAGTGCCCAGCTCATAGTATGTGCTGTACGGTATTGTCTGTTTTTATTGTCATTATCAACTTTTGAGTTTGTCGTCCTTGTTAGTGGTTGCTTACTATTCCATCGTACCCATGCATCATGGTTTATCTGACCCAGAGATTCTCAAACTTTTTGGTCTCATGCCCCCTTTATACTCTTCAAAATTATTGAGGACACCACAGAGCTTTGTTGATGCAGATTATAGCTGTCAATATTGGTTTGCCATGTTAGAACTTAAAACTGAGAAAAATTTAAAGCTAGGAATTCATTTGAAAATAATGATAATAAATCTGTTCTATGTTAACCTAAATCACATTTTAATAAAAAGTAAATTTTCTAAAACAAAAAAAATCAGGAAGAAATGTAGCATTGTTTTACCTTTTTGCAAATCTCTTTAATGTCTAGCTTAGCAGGAAACTTCTGGATTCTCTCTGTGCTTCTGCATTCTGTCTGTTGTGATAGGTTTTGGTTGAAGTAGATGCAGAAAAATGTGCCTCACACAGAAAAAGGAAAAGGAAAGGGGAATCCTTTCATAGCTTTTTCCGATAATCATGCATATCTGTCTTTGCTAACGCACTAAAACTGGACAGGTGGTCGTTTCTTAAAGGTTTGTTGCACTGTGGAATCTGAAACCATATCGGTGAACTTTTTGCGTTCTGTGACGTTAAAATCTGTTGAGGTGACTTGCAGTTTGCTTGGGTCTTTTGCCCATTTTGTAACGTCACGGGTCGCTCATTTGGGAACTAATGTTCACTCAACTGTGGAGCTCTTCCCAATGTTGACACACCTCATTGTACGGTATCGGGAAGTCACGTCTGTTCGTATCCTCACTCATCTCCCCGGGCAAGTCTTTCGGCTTTGAGAAGCTGTCACTCAGGCGCACGGTGGCGGGGAAAGGCTGTCCAAAACTCTCATTTTCGCTTTGAAGTTTGAATTTTATCATTGGCAACAAATACGGCTAGCTGTTTTTCTTGAAGTGACAGACTCACTTTGTTCATTTTTGAGAAAATGCCTGCCAAACTTATGAGTTTGAATACCCATGGTTTTGTCTGTCAGTCGTTCTTTTGAGTCAAAATAGCTTTCCCTGAATAAGTGGCTGGTTTAGCTCGAAACCCGATGGCACAAGAGTTTTTCCTAGGATGACCGTCATGCTCTGGTTTGCTGTGGGAGGCGCCCTTCCCATTTTGTCACACACAAGAGTAAAAGGCTGTGGACTCAAGGGTCGAGATTCAATAAAAGTAATAATTTTTACAGCTTCATCAGGCCCATTCCTACGCTTCATTTCCTCTGGTTGATTGATTTGTTTGTATGTTTGTTTTTCCCTCCCTCCCGGCCACCCACTGACACTGCGTGGTGATGGAGAATACAACGACTGCTTGTACATTTAATGCCACTGGCTTGATTTCTACTAATGGGCACCAGCAGTTTTACTCACCCTTACTGTTGCACGATCAGTGCAAATGTCAACATAGCAAAAAAGGCAAATGGCATCTTAGTATTACTATGCAAATTTTTTTTAATATTCAGTGAGTTTTTGTTTTTGTTCTTTTTTTTTTTTTTTGGTGAGGAAGATTGGCCCTGAGCTAACTTCTGTTGCCAATCTTCCTCTTTTTTTTTTTTTTAATCCTCAAAGCCCCAGTACATAGTTGCATATCCTAGTTGCAAGTCCTTCTGGTTCTTCTATGTGGGACACTGCCACAGCCTGGCTTGATGAGCAGTGCTAGGTCTGTGCCCAGAATCTGAACTGGCAAACCCCGGGCTGCCAAAGCAGAGTGCACAAACCTGACCACTTGGCCACGGGGCTGGCCCCCTATGCAAATTGTTTTGACCTTATGGACTCCCTGAAAGGGCCCCAGGGGCCCCCAGGAGTCTGCAGATAACACTTGGAGAGCCACAGCACTGAGCTGCCCCCGTGGTTGAGCTTTTAGGTTCTTTCTGGTTTCTCCCTATGATGACGTCCTGTGCTGGCACCTGGGACAGGGCCATCCCGACCATGGGCCTCAGTGTAGGGAGGCCTAACTAGCCCAGAGGATGGCGAGTGGTGGCCCAGGTGTGTGGCGTGTGTGCTCTGGGTATGGCACGAGGCAGCTCCTCCTCCCCTCTCCCGACAGAGCAGTGAGTCGGTCACCCTGGACTTGCTCACCTACACGGACCTGGAGTCCCTGAGGAACCGCAAGATGGGGGGCCGCCCAGGTGCCCAGGCCTCGAGGTCGGCTCAGCTCAACTCCAAACGCTACCTGATCCTCATCTACTCCGTGGAGTTTGACAGGTGGGGCCAGGGGCTGGCTCCGGGCCGGGCTGGCGGGCCGGTGGGAGAGGATGGGCGAGGCCTCGGGAGCCGCTGGTGCCCGGGGCACGGTGGGGAGGTTGCTTAAGCCTTGCCTTTGGCATCTTCAGTGTTGATGTTTGTATCGTGTTTGGCCACCGAGTAGCAGAATAGCCATCACCAGTACCTTAAACAAGATGTCTATGTAGGTGGCTGTCACTCAACAGTTTCATTAGGGACTCAGGCTCCTTCTGTTTTTTTTCTTTTGTCATCCTTAATTTGTTGGCTTTTTGACCTCATCCTTAGCTCTTCATGGGCACATAATGGCTTCCGGAACCTTCCGGCATTGCACCTGTATCAAAGTAAGAGGAAGAGGAACAGGGCTGTGCTTGCTATTTGCATCTACTGTTTTTATCAGGAAAAAAAGTGTTCCCAGAAGACTCCCAACAGATGTCCTACAATATTTGCCCAGAAATGCTCACATGTCCTTTCCCACAATATTTGGTCAGAAGTGGTCACATGCAAGGGAAGCCGGGAAAATGAATATCTGGCTTTCTAGCCTTGACAGTGGGAGGCAGCAAGGGAGGTGGGAGTTGGGAATGGCTGTTGGATAGCCGGGCACAGTGTCTGCCCCGCTTGCTAATAGCTCCTGGATTTTCTAGTGGCAAGTTATCGATCTCTGAATAGCATCTGATGGGACAGTTAATCGAGGAGTCCTGCCTCCCCCAGCCAAGGGGTGACCCTGACCCTGGTCTAGAGTCTCCCTCTGTGGAATCTGAACTAGGCTGTGCTTGGCTGCAAGTCGCATGACGGCAGCGTCCACTCCACCAGCAGTGTGTGACAAGGAAGTTCCCCCAGGGCCATCCATCCCAGTGGTCCCTAAATTGCTACTGAAGAGGGTCTTGGGGGGGCTGATGGGTGCACGGCGTATGGGGCCCCGGGTGGGGCTTGAAGCTGCGGGTGTGAGCTTCCTGGAATTGAGCATTCTCTGAGGCTCTCAGGGTCTGACGGCTGCCCTCGGCATGGTTCTCGGCCTCTGAGATGCCACGGTTCTAATCCTCCTTCTCAGGATTCACTACCCGCTGCCCCTCCCGTACCAGGGCAAGCCGGACCCCGTGGTCCTGCAGCGCGTCATCCGCTCGCTGAAGGAGGAGCTGGGCCGCCTTCGAGGCCTGGATGGCCAGGACGCTCGGGACACCCGGGAGACGGAGCTCTGGCACCTGCGGGAGCAGTGAGTCTGGGAGGGGCGGGGTGGGGGCTCTGGGGGTGCATCCTGTCACGCGCTGTGACGGCCCTGTCTCAGCCCTATAGGGAGGGTGGCCGTGTTCATTCACCCACTGTTAATTCTGAGCCCCTCCTCCATGCTTGCCTGGGGTGGGTGGTTCTGCGGACACGGTGGTGACCGAGACCGTCCTGGGCCTGCCCTCCTGGGCCTCCCAGTCCAGTGGGGGAGACAGAGCTGTCTGTAGGTAGCGAAGACTCAGAGTGGGCAGGGCGGGGGACCCTGCCTGGTAAGGGGGGCTGTTCCAGGCAAACGGAACATGTGCAAAGATGGGGTGGGAGTTAGGGCAATGTTCAGCGCCCCTTTTGTGCTAGCCCCCTCCTGCCCCCCGTGGTGGCCAGCCCAGGGGGCACGTAGATGTTGGTCACATCGCCGCTGGGTGTGTCATTGCAGACGGAGATGGGGTTATGCAGGAAAGGGAGCCTGTGCTGTGGGCTGCTGGGACAGGAACCTGCTGGGGTCTTGGGGTGGAGCAGGCGGAGGGGGTGGGGAAGGGTGTTCCGGGCAGAGAGAACGGCATGTGTAAAGGCCTTGTATGAGGCAGCATGTGGTGAGACGGGATGGAGAGAGTGAAGTGGGCAAAGCAGAGGCTCTTGGCCTGTTCACTGAGGTCTGCTGGGTGCAGAGGGTTGTGGGGAGCTGAACTGGGGCCTCCGGCTCGCCTGGAGGAAGCCCTGCCCACTGGGGAGGGCTAATACTATTTTTAGTAATAATAATACCACCAGTAGCTAATGTTTGTTGAGCATTTAACTGTGTGCCAGGGCCTCTGCTCTGTGCTGTAGGATTTAATTCCTTGAATCCTCACGAATTAGGCACCGCTATCATCCCCATTTTCCAGAGGAGGAAATGGAGGCCCAGAGAAGTTAGAGAGCTTGCCCTGGGTCACACAGGGAGCAATATGGCCAGGCTAGACCTTGAATCCGGTGGTTCCCCAGCCACTGTGCACTGCAGGACTGAGCGCTCAGTGCCGACAGAGAGGACCAGCCTTCTCCCGTCCCGGGAGTGGGAGGGAGCCCACGGCATTGGGGAACCCTGTGGGTCTTCCTGGAGGAGCTTGGCTGTGCTCCCCTGGCAGGCAGGATGACCTTCATCCTCAGGTCATTCTTCGGATCTGCCCTTGAGTCTTGAGAGAGAAAGAGTGTGTGTCTCCCCCAGGCTGGCCACAAGGTGGCGCCCTCTGCCCTGCAGCTGGCCAGTGGCTTCTCCCTTCTCCCAGTGTGGAGTTAGGGAGTTTGGGAAGACCCCAAGGTTCATTTGTTTATTCATCCAGCGTTTATCGAGTTCGCACTGTGCGCCAGGCACCCTGCCGGCACTAGTTAGTGTTTACTGAGCCCTCACGCAGTGCCAGAGATGGTCTGAGCGCTCTTCATGGACCCCTACCCGCTGAATGGTAGCTGTTATCCTCCCACTTCCTGGAGGTGTGAAGTGCGGCTCCCCGAGGTCACCCATCTGTGATAAGTGGAGGAGAATTGGACACAGTCAGCGCAGGTTCCTCCACAGTGACCAGACAGCTGGAGACGCGGCACGGAGTGAGGACAGAAAACAGACACAACGCTAAATGCCAGCTAGGAAGCTAGGAGGGAAGGTGCAGAGGGCCGGAGAGCAGAGAACAGAGGGACCCAGCCTAGTCTGGCTCAGGGTGATGTTTGAAGGATGAGTGGAGTCATTCCTGCCACAGAGGAGGAGGAGAGAGTGTTCTGGAAGGCGGGAATCACATTTGCAAAGAGGAGCTTGGCTGGAGCACTGTGGGAGAGGGAGCGGGGAGGAGAGGAGGGGAGGAGGGAAGTCAGCCGGAAGGGGCTGAATGGGAAGCTCCCTGGAGAGCGTGGGGGAGCCATAGACTAAAAAAAAAATTTTATTAGGAAAAATTCCAGACTCACAAAAGTGGACAATTCTAACGCGCTTGTACTTATGCGCCAGCTTCCATGGTCATCCACATTGTGTCCATCTTGTTTCGTCCACGCTCTCCACTCCCGAGAAGCAAATTGCAGACATCATTTCTTCTCTGTAAACACTTCAGTATATGTCTTTAACATATAAAGACGTTTAAAAAGAAACACAAGCTCTGTTATCACATCCAGCAAAATTAACAAAATTCCTTGATGTCATCTGATCCCCAGTGTGTGTGTGTTGACCCTTCTCTCATTATTTGGCAAATGTCTTTTTGGAATTGGCTTGTGTTGACTCAGAATCCACATATGGCCACACATTGCAGTTTATGGATGCGTTTCTCAAATCCCTTTTAATTGATTACAATCTCCCCCTTTTTTCGTGCTACTTACTTGTGGAAGAAGCCAGATTATTTGTCTGGTGGAGTTTCCCACCATCTGGATTTTGTTGATTTTCTTTCCATGGTTATTAAACCTATAGGCTAATCAGAGTCAGGTGTTTGGCGAGACACCGTCCTCGGTGGTGCTGTGTCCTTGCCTACTGTCCCGGGGCGTTGGGGCTGATGAGTTCCGATGTTGACAGCTGGATCCCTGTCTTATAAAGCGCCCAGCAGCCCAGCAGTGGTTCACCCTGGCTGCCCGTTAGAATCAGCCGGGAGCTTTGAAAAATCCCTGTGTTCCTGCTGCCCCCGAGACGGAGCACTTCCATCAGGCTCTCGGGGGTGACAGTGGACCTCTGCTGGGCTGCTGAAACTTTGTGACATTACAAGTCAGGCTTCTTCCTACTTGACTTTTATATCGCGAAAAGCCATACACACAAAATAAAGAGTATAAAATGCAGATGTACAGCTTTACAAGTTGTCATAAAGCCAGCATCCGTCTAACTACCAGGTTCAGAAATTGAAAGGCTTTTCCCAGGAGAGACACCTCCCCCCGCCTCGCCCCCAGGTCACCACTGTCCCAAATGCTCTGACTCTCACTCTCTTGCTTTCTTCCTGGTGTTGCTGCGAAACTATGCATCCTTAAACAATATGACTTAGTTTTCTCTGTTTGCCCTTTATATAAGTGAAATGATTATGTCCTGGATTTTTGCATCTGGATAATTTTGCCTAACATATTTAAGATTGATTTATGCTGTTTCATGTTGCTGTCATTCACTCATTTTCATTGCTGAATATTATCTCATTGAAGGAGTCTGCCACAGTTTAAGTAAACATCCCATGGAAATTGGTCATTTCCAATTTGGGTCTGTGACACCCACCTGCGTGCACACAGAGTACTTTGGACGTGCATCTCCGTGTAAATGAGCACGTGTCTCTGGGGAGACACCCAGGAGTGGAGTTGCTTTTCCTTAGGCCGTATGTATCTTTAAGCTACTAGATAATGCCAAACCCAGACTGCTTGTCAGAGTGCTTATAACGTTTTGTGGCATCTCTTGGTACTTGTAATTTGCATTTCCCTAATTACCGAGGGGTTGCATTTCCTCCTTTGTGATTGCCTATTCTCCTATCTTGTCTGTTTTGCTTGTGGTCCTCTTTTTCTCATTGATTTCCAAGAGTTCTTCATACATTCTGGGCCCTTTGTTAATTTTGTGTTTCAGAAAGCTCCTCCACCCTTATAGCTGGCCTTTTTGCTCTCATCCTAGTGCCTTTCAATAAACAGGTTCTTTATTTTTATGTAGATTAATTTATACATTTTTTCTTTACAGTGAGTAATTTTTATGTCTTGTCTTAGCAATCCCTTCCTCCCAGTGTCATGAAGACGTCCTCCTATATCATCCTGTACAGTTCTTTGTGTCTCGCTTTTCACTATATCTACCATCCACCTGGAATTGGTTTTTAGTGAGGTAGCTGTCCCTTCGTATTTTTTTCATATGGCTAGTCAGTCATCCCAATGCTGTTTATTGAAAAGAGCATCCTATCCCTCTTGTCACTTTTATCACACGTTTTGTTTATCTATAGTTGAGGTTCTGTGCTCTGCAGTCCCTGATTTGTTTATCCTTGTGCCGGCACCGCACTGTTATAATTACTGTAGCTTTATAATTAGTCTGATATTGGGCAGAACAAGTTCTCTTCCTTTCGTTGTTTCTTTTCAAGAATTTTTGGGTTATTCTTGCCAATGTGTATTTTCATATAAATTTTAGAATCAAGAGGTTTTTCAAGACAAACACATAAAACTGTTGGAACTTTTCTTGGTATCCCATTGACTCTACAGAACGATTCAGGGAGAGACATTTTCCTAGGGAGTATTCCAATCTGTAAACAGAGCATCTCTCTACATTTATTTAGGTCTTATTTAATGTCTCAATAATGTTGTTGCATCACACTTTTTGGTAGATTTTTGCCATCTTTGGATGCTTTTGTTAATGGTTTATTTACGTTAAATATAAACCATATTGATGTTTGTAGAATTGATATTGATTTTGTATCTAGTAACTTCAGTCAGCTTATTAGTTCTAATAATTTATCTGTAGATTCTTTTTGATTTTCAATGTCTATAATCATTTCATCTGCAAAGGACTGTTTTTTTAATTCCTTCTCAATCCTTAGCTTTCATTTGTTTTTCTTGCCGTGTTGCACTGGCTGAGACCTCCAATACAATGTTGAGAAGAAGCAGTGATAGGTGGCATCCTTGTCTTGTTCTTGACTGCAAAAAGTAAATTCACTGTTTTGCCAAAAATGTAGGTGTCTGTTTGTTTTTCAGATCTGTAATTGATGTTGATTTTCAGGCAAAGTAGGAACAGCTGTGTTAATATATAGTTTTAGCAGCTATTGATGATCAGTACTAGATAGATTTTTCATTAGGGGTTGGAAATGGGTAATGATCTAATTCTAGAATTCTTTTTGCTTTTGTTAGCTGGAATTCTTCAATAAAGAAAAGCATTCTTTCCTGGGGCTGGCCTGGTGGCGTAGTGGTTAAGTTTGCATGCTCTGCTTTGGCAGCTTGGGGTTCGTGGGTTTGGATCCCGGGTGCGGACCTACGCATTACTCATCAAGCCATGCTGTGGTGGCGTCCCACATATAAAATAGAGGAAGACTGGCACAGATGTTGCTCAGGGTGAATCTTCCTCAAGCAAAAATAGGAGGATTGGCAACAGATGTTAGCTCAGGGCCAATCTTCCTCACCAAAAGAAAGAAAGAAAGAAAGAAAAGCATTCTCTCATCAACTATTTGGTTCCTCTGAGGTACATTTCCTATGGTAAAGGCATGATCAATGCTTGATTTTTTTCCTTTATTTAACTTTTTTTCAGAATAATGAGTTGGTTCCCTCACTTCCTCCATGGAGATCAATGAGTTTGGTTTTGTTTTTAGTATGATGAACGCATGAATTTAAACTTAATTGATGTTATGTTGGTTTCCTATGGCTGCTGTGGCAAACTACCACGAACTTGGTGGCGTAAAACAACAGGAATTTATTCTCTTAAGTTTTGGAGGCCCGAAGTCTGAAGTCCCGTTCCCTGGGCTGAATGAAGGTGTCGTCTGGGCACTGCTCCCACAGAGGCTCTAGGGGAGAAGCCATTTCTTGCCTCTTTCAGCTTCTGGTTGCTTCCGTCATTCTTTGGCCGTGACCACATCATTCTAATCTCTGCCTCTGGGTCACATTGCCTTCTCCTCTTCTGTGTCTAGTCTTTCTCAGCCTCTGTTGTATAAGGACACTCATGATTATATTTAGGGCTCACTCTATCCAGAATAATCTCATCTCAAGGTCCGTAATTTAATCAAATCTATAGTCTTTTTTTTTTTTTGCCGTATAAGGTGATATTCGGAGGTTCTAGGGATCAGGACATGGATGTATTTTGGGAGGGTGTTACTCAGCCTACACAGGTGTGCTTTAGTCCGTTATCATTGCAGGTGTTCTTTCTGATGCTCATATTGTGTTATCTTCGGCCTCTAGGAACACCTTCGTGTTATCTCCTACATGTTGGTCCTTTTGAAATGACTCCAGTCATCTTTGATGACTTCCATGTTTTCTCGCATCTCAAGATGTCCCAGATGTTCTTGTGCCTTTCCAGCCTCAGAACTGGTATAATTAATTTTTCCAAGGAGCTCCAGTTTCTTTTAGTGGGAAATTGTATTTAGAGACCACAGTCTGGTCATTAGGGGTGCTCATTGCCATTAGGTTGACGTTGCTTTTAGGCCTTTTTGGGTGGAAAGAGCCAGGAAGTAGACACATTTTTAGAAAGAGAAAAATGATGTCTGTGCTTCTCTACCTCGTTGATTTGTATGTCTTTCTTCATGCTGAAAATCTTAGTTTCTAGTAATAATAGCATAATTATTATTTGCTTCCTCCTAATACCAAGATAACTGCTAATAATAAGAGTAGTGAATGAAGTTTAAGACTTATTTGCAGTTCGTTTTGTCCTTAGGCTCTGTCCTACTTGCTAAAATGAAGGCTTTTTTGTGACTTGATATAATACTCCAGTATGCCACCGAGTTTGACATACACTTAGATCTTTTTTATTTTATTTTTTTAAGATTTTTTTTAATTTTTTCCCCTTTTCTCCCCAAAGCCCCCCAGTACATAGTTGTATATTCTTCGTTGTGGGTCCTTCTTGTTGTGGCATGTGGGACGCTGCCTCAGCGTGGTTTGATGAGCAGTGCCATGTCCGGGCCCAGGATTTGAACCAACGAAACACTGGGCCGCCTGCAGCGGAGCGCGTGAACTTAACCACTCGGCCACAGGGGCAGCCCCTACACTTAGATCTTTTTGAGCCACTTTTAAAATTTTTAGGGATTGTTTTTATTAAAATTCATGTATGTAAACTATTTTTGTAGTTCCAAAGTCAAAACTGAAAAAGAGGGTACATTCAGAGGGGTCCAACTTGTCGCCCTGTTGCCACCTCTGTTCCTCCTTTCGTCATAGGTAACCTACTTTTTAAAGTTTTTGATTTATCCTTATATATTTTTGAAAATATGAACATGTATAACTTATAATTCCCCTCTTTTCTTTCACATAAAGAGACGTAATAAACATTGTTCTTCACTGTTTTTAAACGTACATCCTGGCCGTCATTTGGTGACAGGATATAGAGATCTTCATTCCTTTCTACAGTTTGGAAAGTCAACTATCTTTGTTGACACACATTTCGGTTGTTTCCACGCTTTTGCTATTACAGATGGTGCTGCAACGAATAGCCTTGTGTGTCGATCTTTTTCTCAAGGAAGGGTTTTGAGCACAGTAATGACCTGATCGGACGTGCATTTTAGAAGAAGTCCTCTGGGGAACGGGAGGCGGTGACACCTAGCTGGGAGGCCAGCGAGGCGGCGGGGGCCAGGAGCTCAGGGCTAGGCTTTCAGGGGTATAGAGAAGGACGGATGGATGACGTATTTTGAACTCACACGGCTGTGCCCTCCCTGTGGGATGGGTTGGGGTGATGTGGCCTCACGCGGAGGAGCTGGAGGACAGGGACCATGGGGGCAGCTGGGAGGGATGGGAAGGGGGAGGTGAAGCGGCGCGTGCCCAGCCCCGCGGAGGGGTGAGGATGATGGGATCGCCCCCCCAGCTCTGGCTCTCCCTCTTCCACCCAGGGTGTCGCGCTTGGCGTCCGAGAAGCGCGAGCTGGAGGCGCAGCTGGGCCGCTCCCGCGAGGAGGCGCTGGCCGGGCGCGCGGCGCGCCAGGAGGCCGAGAGCCTGCGCGCGCTCGTGCGCGGCCTGGAGCTGGAGCTGCGGCAGGAGCGCGGCCTCGGGCCCCGCGGGGCCGGCCGCCGCGGCCAGGAGTGCCGCCGCCTGGCCAAGGAGGTGAGGGGGCGGGCGGCGGCGGGGCGGCCGTGGGGGCGCAGGCCGCGGCCTCAGTGGGGACCTCTGCGCCCCTGTTCCATCCCCGCAGCTGGAGGAAGCGAAGGCGTCGGAGCGGAGCCTGCGCACGCGGCTGAAGACGCTCAGCAGCGAGCTGGCGCTGTACCGGAGGGGGTGAGGGCGGGGCGGGCGCGGGGCCTGGCAGGTGGGCGGGGCCGACTCCGGCGTGGGAGGCGCCCGGAGCGTGGAGGGGGCGGGTGGCCTGAGAGTGGGCGGGGATGGAGGGGTAGGAGGGGCATAAGGGGCTGAATGGGACAGAGGGACGTACTCTGGGTTCGGTGGGCGGGGCCGGTGGAGAGATGGCAGGGCTGGAGGCGGCCTCAGGAGGCTGGGCCTGCAGATGGGGACCCGAAAGGGGCGGGGCCTGAGCTTCTAGTGGAGTGAGAGGGCGGGGCCCGGGAGATGGGGATCTGGACCAGGTCCTCTGGCATTTATGGGGCTGGGTGGTGGAAAATTGGGAATGGTTTCCATGGCGCTGGGGGACACCTCAAGAAGGGTCCTGTGGACGGGGTGTGCTGGATGTAGGGAAGCGATAACGGGTTCTTCTAGGGGGCTCTGTGGGGCTCCGAGAGGGGTGGAGCCCGGGAGAAGGTGTCTATGAGGGTGGTGTGCAAGGGCGGGAACGGCTAGGAGATGATGGGGGGCTGGACCTGAAGGTTCGGAGACGGTTCGATCCGGGAAGGGGCTTGGGATGCGAGTGTCCTGGCCGGCGGGAAACCGACAGTGCGTCCTGGGCTGCAGGAGACGGACTCCGCCGGTGGGGCCGCCCGCGGCCCGGGAGGATCGGGCCTCGTCGTCCCGGGAGCGCTCCACGTCGCGTGGCCGCGGCGCCGCCCGCTCGTCCTCCCGAGAGAGCGGCCGCGGAGGCCGGGGTCGAGGCCGCCCTGCCCGCCCCTCGCCCTCGCCCACAGGTGTGTGCCGGGCGCCCGTGGGAGGGGGTGGAACGGACTAGAACGCGGAGGAGCCATCCCGTAACCCCGCCTCCTCTTCGCTCCACCCCCGCCCCGCCCCCGTCCTAGGTGGTCGCGTGCCCCGTTTCGACCCCACAGCCTTTGTGAAAGCCAAGGAGAAGAAGCAGAGAGAGATCAAGATGAAGTTAGCGCGCATTTCCCCTCTCCTGCCCATACCCCGCCCCTTTGCCTGGTCCCCTGACCTGTGCCCTCATCTATCCCGGTCTCCATCACCTGTCTCCATCACCTGTCGCCTGCTCCATCTCTCCCCTTCCCCTAGCGGCTCCCTCTTCTCACCTGACACCCCCCTGGCACGGTCTGTGACTCCGCATGCTTTCTCCCTACTTAGGCCACGTGACCTCAGGTGGGTCAGCGGCCTTGGCTGTGGTCCCCGGGGGCGCAGCGCCGCCCTTCCCCATATTGCTTGGGCGCACAGGCGGGCGTCTCCTTCCCGCTCCCCAGGCAGCAGCAGCGGAACCGACTGGGCAGCGGAGGAAGCGGGGACGGCCCGTCCATCTCCTGGTCTCGCCAGACTCGGGCCCCCGCCGCCGTGAGCGGCCGAGGGGACGCGGCCACCCGCTCGCGGAACCGCAGCTCCTCGGGTAACGGGGCGGAGCGCGGCCGGCGGGCGGGCGGGGCGGCGGGCGGGGCGGAGGCTGAGCGCGTCCTTCTCCCCCTAGTGGACAGTGTGCGCAGCCGCGGCTCGTCCGCCAGCTCCTGCAGCGAGTTGGAGGATTTCTCGGAATCGCTGCCTAGAGGGTAAAACTCGGGCTGGGGACCGACCGCCTCCAGCGGGTGTCTGCGGAGACTGGAAACAGTCTTCTGCGGGGAAACTGGGTGCTGGAGCCTTGAAACGACGGAGGGCGGGGTGGGAGGGCCCAAAGACCCCCAATGGTCCCTGATTCCTCCCTCCCCCAGCGCTGGCCGCCGCGGGAAGCCGCCCAGCCCCACCACCTGGAGCGGGTCCAGCAGGGTGCGTGTCCTTCTCGGGCCCTGGAGGAGGTGGGGCGGCATGACACCACCGGAAGCCAGGTCGGGGGGATGCTGGGGGCAGAGGACGCTGGTCAGAGCACCTGCTCTGGCCTCGAATTGCCGGATCTCAAACCTGGCTCCCCATCCTGTCACGTCTGACTCACGGTAGTTACTTAGCTCTCCGTGCCTCGGTTTCTTTATCGGTGAAGTGGGCTTGGTTAGACTATTCACGTCAAGGGTTCTGGGGCAGATGCGAGGAGGTCATTTTGCACAGAGGAAGTGCCCCTTAGGTGTCAGCCTTCATTTTTTCTGAGGTCTTTAGGTTCAGAATTTCTGGTAGGATGTAGGGGGCAGGAATAGAGGGAGGGTGCCTCACCCCCTCGTGCCTCCCCCAGCAGCAGAAGGCCACGCCCCTGGAACGCGGCCGCCATCAGAGACGCCTGGCCCATTCGGGGGGCTGGGTCCCCATTAAAGGTGAGCCTGGGCCTCCTCCTCCCCCCCACCTGCCCCAGGGCTGGCTGGGATGGCGCCCAGGGCGCTGGTTGGCCGCGAGCTCCCGGGGCTCAGGCCCCTCCCAGCCCCAGCGCCCCCTGCTCTCGCAGACTACAGCTCGGACCACCAGGCGGCCGACATGGCCGAGATAGACGCCCGCCTGAAGGCCTTGCAGGAATACATGAGCCGGCTGAACACGCGGTCGTGACCGGGTAGGGGAGCCGGCCTCTGCATCTCCATCCCCCGGGAGACGACGTGGGGGCGGGGCCTGCGTCCTTCCGGCCCCGCCCAGGCCCCGCCCGTCCGCTCCGGGTCTCAGACTGGAGGCCCTGACCCCGCCCCCTCCCCCTGCGTTGCCTGCTGGGGGGGAGGGGTAGGTGCATTTTGTAAATAAACTCTCCTTTGGGATCCCTCAGCTTATGACTAAGGGTGGCGGAGGAGAGGGAGGTGTGGGGAATGGGTGCGGGTGGCATTGGGACCTGTGTGTGTTTCTGGGCCCGTCTGTGCCTGGGAGGCAGCTTGGGGTTCAGGCTCAGGAAGAACTCCCGACCTCCCTAAAGCAATGAGAGTGGGGAGCAATGGTAGTGAGCAGCCCGTCCCCAAAGGAGTCCATGCAGAGAGGCACAGACGTCGTTGGCTGTGTGGTGGAGAGGAGGTGTTTGCAGCAGGGTTCATTGCCCCAGGGGACCCCGAGCTGCTGTGAGTGACTCGTGGGTCGACTTGGTGCTGATTTCTGCCCTCTGCCCGGAAACCTCTGGGTTCTGAGCTGTGACGTGGCTTCTGAGCTGGGATCTCGGGGGTCTTGGTTCAGGGTTTGGGTCTCTGGGTTCTGGGCACCAGGGAGGACAGAGTGCTGGGAGCTGGGGGAGTGGTTGGGTCATGAGGGAGGCAGAGAGGAAGGGAGGCAGGTGGCAGGACACAGGGTCACAGTGAGTGCATCTTTATTGGAGGGGGAGGCAGGGGGTTTCTGACTGGAGTGGGCAGGCAGGGCCTCAGTATCGGTAGTGTGGCCAAGTCTGGATGATTTCATAGAGCCGGTCACCTGGAGAGAGTGTGTCCTGCACGTCCCGGTGTCCTTTGACCTCATAGTTGGTCCTCAGGGCGCCCCGAGCCACGCCACAAGCCAGCAGACTCTGGGCTGCCCTGAGGGCTCGTTGCGGGGGTGCCCGATCTGGGGAGGCAGAGGCAGGAGTCAGGCTGGGCCCTGGACAAGCAGAGGTCCAGGGGGCAGTGGTTCCCATGGTGCCCTCCCAGCTGGCCCTCTGGGGCCCAGATCGGTCTCTGCCACTCCCTAGCCGTGGCTCCACCTCTCTGTGCCTCAGTTTCCTCACTGTGACAGGACAGAATCATGGCAGCTGGCCCCAGGGCTGTGGGACGATAACATGTCACTTTGTGCACAGAGGAAGCCCTCAGCAAGGGTCGGCTGTCAAGATCCTTGCTGAGCCTCCTTTCTCAGCTCCAGACCTCGGGCTCCTGCCCACAGGGTAGCGGCCATTCACCCTGTGCTCCTTCGGGGCCGTGGACGGGCCCAAGACCCTGGTACAGATGACCGAATCCTCCCCAGGACCGCGGGCTGGAAACGGTCATGTCCAGAGGGGACAATGAGGCTCCAAAAAGCAGGTCACTAGCCCGAGGTCACAGAGCTTGTAGGTGGCAGAGCCTCTGAACCACCACCCACCACGCCCTGCGGTCCCCCAGGCCCATGTCCGCGCCTGTCCCGACGGCTGGACAGTCACTTACCCATGTAGTTACCCATGAAGCTGATGCCGATGGACTTGGAGTTCCAGCCTCCTCCTGCGTGGGCGCCCTGAGTGTCCCAGCCCCGGCCCTCATACACAAGCCCATCTTCTCCGATCAGGAAGCTGTGGGGTGGGGGGTTGAGGAGTGAGGAGGGGTTTCCTGGGGAAGGAGCCCCTGTCCCTCCTCCACTCAGCAACCCTGAGTCACTACTGCCTCTATTCTGCGGATGGAGAATCAGAGAGGTGCAGAGCTGCCCACGGTCACACAGCGGGTCAGGGGCAGAGTCAGGATTTTCACCCAGGTCCCCGTGACTCCCACCCACACGGTCTGACTCCTTGCTCTCTCCTGCCTCCCTGGAGAATCTGTCCTGCTCTCGATGAGTCCTCACATGCGGTCCTCCGAGGCAGGCCCTGTGTCATCCCCACTTTAAGCTGAGGAAGCAGAGACGTAGGAAGAGAAGTGATTTGCCCGAGGTCACGCCCCATGACCCCTGCCTCTCAGAACTCGCCAACAAGGAGCTCTTCCACCGTCACCTGAGCCCCTTCCTGCTTCCTGCTCCGTGCTGGAGTCCCCTGAGTGACGGGATCAGGGACTCAAGG